CAAAGTTGATCTGTTTAATATTTGATGTCATGTGACTTTACCAGGAAAACCATACGTATATTTAATCTTATTTTTCCAAAGTTTGTCCGACTAGTTATATTCTATATTTTATATAGAATTTCGTCTAATTTTAATGCATATGTTTACTATTGTTTTTTTGTTTAGTAATAATATCTGAGGCAAAAAATACAAATAAAATTTTAACCGCACGTTTTGGCTAGGGGAAAATCTGGAAGAAATCTAAATTATTTGACTAGTGTGAAAACCAGGTTAAACTTATATAAGTTTAATCTAATTTCTATCTGGGATTTATCCCGCCGATATTTTGTACAATATTTCATTTGGTTTTAATGTATATATTTTTTTTATATTTCACCTAATTTTATTTTTTGGGGAAAACTGTGGAGATATCTAGGGCAAAAACTATCAAATTGAATTTTGACCCTACATTTTGACCAAAGGGGAAACCCACCTTGTTCGACCAGTGCTTGTTTTATTTAATAAGATAAATAGTATATTAACTGTGAAATATTTTAATACTTGAGATGCGTGTTTATGTAGTTCCAATTAAACCAATTTAAACAATACAAACCCCAAAAATTCACCAATACAAAAATATTGCTCGCGCGAAGGACACGATAATAATATTAAAAATTCCAAAAGCATTTATCCAAGCTTGTCTCTTCGATAAATTCCGTATATTTAGAATTCTCAATATCATCAATTGTTTTGGAAGATATACATGTGTTGCTGAATTACTTCGGTGTGAAAAGTAATTGGCAAAACTAGTGGTCCGAATCGATCATTTTTTTGCTATATAATTGATTATTCAGTCATTCATAGCCAAGTCAATCGATTGGATCTGATTAACTAAAGATGAGCACTGTATATATATGTGCATATACGTACGTAATCAAATGAACTAAATTTATTTATTATTAAATATGTAATTATATCAACTATATTATTGAGATTAAATTCTGGATGATCTAAATTAATTATAAAATTGTGATCCGGTTATTCATTGTTAATCGATTAAATCACTCAAAAATTTTCCAAATCAATCAGTCAGTCAAATCTGAACTATTCGGATTACTAGGCAAAACATCAATGGCGCACAACTTAAACACAAGTACAGCGCGCGCCGTAAATAATGGGAATTTTTGTTTTATTGTAGAATTATAAAATTTTGCTTACATTTATATATATTATAATAAAATTTTTGCTTTCTACAATGCAAGACACCTTAACCAGCAGTTAGAAACAATTTTTAATGTAAAAAAATAAATAGAAAACTGTTTGTTAATTGGTTAAATTTTACAAAGTTGAATTGTTCTAAATTGCCAATTTTACTAGTAAAATTTGCTGGTTTAAGGTGTCTTGCACTGTACTTAAATCAAAAAATAAGAGGTTTTGAAAATATAATAAAAAATGAATTGTTTGTTTTAATTTATATTCGAAAACAATTTTATTTAAGAGAGCTTGTTGAATTTGCTTGATAAAATTTTGCAATAAATTACCTAAATAATGCATGTTTTTAAACTAATAGCAAGGTATTATATTAACACAAACCATTCTAATAAACTTTTTTAAATAATTCTGATGCATTTTTCTTGTTTAAAACCCAATAACATAAACAAAACTCTTATTATCTATGGCGTACACAGTAAAAAGGGGGTATTTTACGTGTGAACCTCTAGACGATTCCACTTTTCTTAATATTCAGCATACAATTCGTAAAACACCATAGATATCTCTATGAAACCTGCTCTTTCTACCTGTGAAAAAGTTGTCGTGATACAACTCCTGCAGTAATATTTTTTGCAAGCGAAAACTCAGTAATTTATTAGTTTTAGTTATCTAGGAGTTTGAGTACCGTGCAATCAGGAAATAACAAGAAAATAATTTTTTTTCAAAGAAAATGGCATTAATTTTTATTGTTCAATTTCCTTATTTTGCTTTTATAAATCTGTTAATAAAAAAATTGAAATAAGATAAAATAAAATAAAATAAATATACATGTAATTTTTAAACAAACAAATTTAGTTAAGCCACAAATAGCGCCACATGAGTAATGTACATCTCGGGGAATCCGATACTACGTAGTACGTACATTATTATTTTGTGGCCAATGTTGTGGCTCGATATTTTTCCAGTTTAGATGCTACACAGAATATTCGCGTACAAAACATACCCTTTAGTTAAAAAGCTGACTTTGATATACAGCCAAACCTCTATAACGATAGTCTGTAAAAACATTCCGCAAATGTTGTTATATAAAAAATTTACTATAAAAACCGAGGGAAATTTTACTAGAATCATTTTGCTTTTTTTTGATTTGTCATCATTAAGGTTTGACTGTATTAGAAATTTCTCTTTGGCGCAAGTTCTTTCTATAAAACGAGTAAGTAAAATGTTTACGTAAACTGCACCACTTTTTTGGTACTAAAAACGGGTTATTCACGGTGCTCGGTGAAAAAATATACCATGAGGATTTGTACTCAAAAATGAACAGTGACAAATACACACAGATATCATTTAAAAAGAAAAAAGAAATCATTTTTATTGTTAACTATAAGATGAAAGCATTTAACTTTTCGCCCCTGGGTCTAGACCCACATACAAAAGCATTATAATTATCGACTTTAACGTTCGACACTGGACTAGACCCACACGTAAAAGCATCATAATAGCACATTATCGACTTTAGCGCTATATTGCCTATATACGCCTATAACGCATTTTGGCAAATACTTAAGAATATATATTTCTTACTTGTTTTATCCGACTATAAAGAAAATCTTTTTCTATTGTCAATGTTAATTTCTCGTGATGTTATCTTATATTTATTAGTTTGGCACATTTTCGGTGCCCTATTTCGCTCACTGGCTTAAAACACAAAAACATCATAAATAGTCAGCACCTATCGCTATTAAATGCACAACGCTCATTGACACATGTTCGATATCCTATTTCGCTAGTTTTAACCTCTCATAGAATTCCAGCCACCCACACGTAAAAGCATCATAGATTATGGAAAAGTACACACATTCCGACCATGGGTAAATTATTAGATGAGATAAAAATTTCAAATGCGTTCGATATCCTATTCCGTTAGTTTTAATTTCTCGAACTGCAGCTGGCTCACACGCCAAAGTATCATAAGTGATAATACATTATGGCAAAGCATACCGTTGTTTCTAACAGTTAGATCGGGACCAACATTTATAAATATCACCGTGACACTGTATATACAATGTTTTTGAAAAACTTTCAAACATGTACGATATCCTATTTTGCTAGCCTTAACTGTGTTCCAATCCAACTGCTTGTACTATGCCATAATGTGTTATTAACCATGATGCTTTTGCATGTAAGTCGGCTGCAACATTTATAAATGTCACCATGATTCAGACTTTAATTTCTCATAACACTTCTTTATCTAAACACTTTCTACAACGCTCATTAATGTATTTTGGCAAATGCTTGAAGATATTATTTAAAATAATGTATAAATATTTTATTTCTTGAATAAAAAGTGTTTTGTTCGACTATCAAAAGAGAGATCGTTTTTTATTATCATAATAGATAAATTATTAGAGGATACTGCTACAGTGAAGACACTTTAAGACGACAATAAAATTAGCCATCTTTAAAGCAAAGGATCTTTATACAAAGATCATACAAAAAAAGGGAGGCCGCTGTTTTGTAGCTAGACTTATTTACTATAGAATAGCGGCCTCCTTTTTTTTGTATAATCTTTGTATAAAGATCCTTTGCTTTAAAGATGACTAATTTTATTGGTGTCCTGCAATGTAGTACATGTACATGTGTACGTCCACCTCAGCGAGTGTATCGTCCCACTGTGGCTGTGTTGTTCAACCAATAAAATCGCAAATCAAACGCTTATTTTTGAAAAACAACTTGTATCCTGAAAGCTTGCCTATAAAACTACCTTTATGTTCTAACAAAAAATGCTCCTTGCAAGTTTTGCTACTTAGCTTTCGTTTGCTAACACTGACCATAACTTTAACCCAACCGAATATTTCATATCTTGCGATTGGTTAATCGACCCACTCACTGAGGTGGCAAACTCATGTGATCGATGAAAATTTGGTGGGGCTGTTGAAATTAACTGGCGGTGGTGATGTTTTATGGATTCAAGTTTTTTAAGGGGAAAAATTAATAACATACCGATATCGATATGCCTTTGAATAGTTAAATTTATGATTAAGGGATTTTCCGATCAATCTATTCAATAAGTTGATTGTGTGTTTTAAATTCCGGTTACTCTTTAAAATCTACAGCAGAGTTGGGGGATACCGGAAATCAGACAGGCAAATCCAAACATGAAATTTATACCATGGTTCAAACTTTAATTTCTCATAACATTGTTGTGTTATTTCATGCAGACTGATCAACGGTTGTGACATTTGATACTATCGCTATTACAAATTTCTTTATTTAGTTTAATTATAACGATAACAAATATTTGTTATTTATATTTACTGGAAAAAACTTGCATCCGGACATTTTTAACTATCTCTATGATATCATAGTTTGTTATATTATTTATTACTATAATTATATAAATAACTAATATAAATAACATTAGTCAACCATTTGCATACAAGCATGTTGTGATCAATGTCGAAAGTTCAATGTACGTGGTATTTTTGAGGACATTATGATTGCTGTCGTCGTCGTCTTCAAACTTCGAAGAATATCACCTTGCATTTTGTGTGATTTGATTTTAATTTAATCGAATTTTGAGATTATTTTCATGAGATTTTCTGTAAATCGAATAAAAGTATCTCTATATTAAAATAATTGCATTCACATATGAATAATATGTATGAATTTTTCAGTTTGTCAGAAAGATTTTACGGACCAGTATTTTTTCTTATAATACAAATTGATAATTTACCTTCATTGATAATTACATTACATTCACAAAGAAATTTTTTTACTCCAACCAAATATCACATTCACAGAAAATAATGAAAACCAATTTTCTTTTTGTATTTGCTTTATTGGCCATGCTTTGTGTTGTCAAAGCTATTCCACATCAACTTTATAAAAGAACTACTGAGTTTGGACCATGTCCTGTACCAAACCTACCATCCGAACTCTCTGTAACAATTTCACCTGATCCTGTCGTCCCTGACCAAATTTCTACTTTTACTGTTACTGGAACGCTGACGACACCAATCACCGAAGATTTCAACCTTATAATTGCATTTGATGATCCTCAGAGTCCTCTTCCCTTTGTTGCGCAAATTCCACCTGGAACCACAGTTAACGCAGTAGAGAATGTTCCGGTACCATCTCAGTCCCTGCTACCTTCAACATATGGTATTGCAGTTGCTATTATCAATCAAAATTTTGAACCACATTTGGTTATAGGCTGTGCATATGCTACTGTTAATGGTCCTGCTTCTGATATTCCCGCTCTTCTGTTCTAGACCAACAATGAATTTCACTCAAGAATTCATATTTTTTACTTTTTAATTTTTTAAGAGTCTTTTTTTTACAATATATTACTTTTTCATTTATATTTATTAACAAAATAAAAACCAATTAAATATAAAGTATCGAATATGTAGTTATATTGGTTCAAATTTGAGAACCTACAAATTAATATTTCGTACTTTTACTTTTGGCTTTAATAACCTCGTCTACACATCTAGGTAGAGTTAAAATTAACACACGTAAAAGTTTATAGATCAATACTCGCCCACTCATCTTATAACATACTAATTAATTCTTGTTTTGACGTAGGTAAAGGTCTTCTTTTTCAAATATCCCACAGGTGCTCGATTGGATTGAGATCCGGAATTTGACCAACCCAGTCTAAATGTTGAATATTATGCGTTGATATCCACCAAGTCGTACATATTGAAGTATGACATGGCACTCCATCTTGCTGAAATATAACGTTCGGATATTGGCGAGCCAGGATATAAAATAATTGGCAAGAACATATCCGAATCCATGGTTTCTTTTACCAGTACCAAAGGACCAACTCCAAAACCTTATCGATCCTCCACCAAACTTAATAGTAAGTTTAATACATTTTTGGTGGTAAGCTTCACTAGGTTTTCGCCATACTTTTACCTGGCCATCTCATTCATAAAACACAAATCTGGACTCGTCAAACCATATAATATTTTTCTATCCCTCATTCCAATTACATTTTTCCTGGCACCATTTAATTGACAAATTCTTAATTTGGAGTTATAAATATTTGCGGATGGTATTCGAATGGTTAATATTAAATTTGTCATTTAGTTTATTCGTAATTTCACCGAGTGGAGAAAACTGATTTTTAAAGTAACTAGTTTTAGTGCACGTTTTTATGATTAATTAAAGTTTTGTCGACCAGTACGTTTTTCAGGTAATGTTAAATGGTATCATAAACTGTTGTATGAGAAATTTTAAATTTAAGTGCAAGTTCTTGACCTTTGATGCCAGCGAGATAAGCGCCTATTATTTGCTCCTTTGGTTGTTGGTCAACTCCTTTCCACGCATTTTTGTAAAAAAAGGAAAAAACGAGTTTTTTTGTATACACGTTGTTTGTGTATATGATCAATGCCAATAAAAAATGGCTTTTAAATTTATGAATTAGAACTACGAATTATAATTTTATCACTACTCAAATCCAGATTTGATAAAATTTTGTGACTATTATTCGTAGTAGCGCAAGGTTTAAACTACGTGTGTGAGCTGTACAAGTACCCTAACCATAGCGAAAAAAAGAAGTACCCTAGCCATGGTAAAAAAAGGTGTCGGTTCACGTGATAATAGACGAATCCAACCAATAAGAACGCACAAAAATTCTGCGCAACCAATTTGAATGTAGTAAATTATTGTTCAACCCGGCAAAACAAATCCGGCACAGAAGACAAAAATACAAAAATCAAATATCTAAATCTAGCTTGACACATTATCAAAAAATGTCGGGAAGTCAATTTTACATATAAACTTGGTCTCAAATCTATCCCTAACCCTAATACTTGATAGCGGATATTTTAATGGACCTACTACAGATAACATGATCCGACACCTTTTTTGCCATGTCTAGGCTACTAGAAAAAAGTGTCAGATCACGTGCTGCTGGCAGCACAAACCAATGAAATTTTTGATCAGTCCGGCAAATCAAATCCGACACAAGAAAATAAAAATGTAAAAAATACGGGAAACAGATGCCTAAATCTAGCTAGATACACTAAAAAAATGCCGGGAAGACAATTTTACATATAATCTTGACTCCAGCTCTAATCCTAACCCTTAAATTAACCTTTAACAATAACCTTTATTAGCGTAGAATTTTTCTGGACATACACTAATATCACATGATCTGACACATCGGTATATGTATCTAGCATCACGTGCATTAAGCTGATATCACCTGCGTAAAGTTCAGCGTATCACGAGCACTAAGTTCGAAATTATAATGGGTATCTCGTTTAATAGTCTCTTCAATAAATTGTTGCTTAGTGATCTATGATGCAGGAACTCTTAAATCGACAATGTGTTTCATGTCAAAAGATCTTTCAACTTCTTAATTAAGAAGTAAATTTAAAATTTAACCGGTAATATTATAGAAAAGAAATTTCTTGATAACATTACCGGTTAAATTTTGGATTTACTTCTTAGTTAAAAAGTTGAAAAGAATTTTTAACATCTATAAAACACATTGTCGATGTAAGAGTTCCTGCACCATATAAATTGAAATTTTACCGTGAGCATATATACATGGTGTGGGAAGGATGTCCTAGCTACAAACAAACAATTCGTTCGAAAACAAAGTGTTCTAAGGAAAATTTATTTTTGTTATTTATTAAGATTTATTGAAACGTTTCATCACGAAGCGGGTAAAGAGTACGGCAAAGATTTTTTCCTGCCCTTTTATTTACAGGTCAGAATTTATTTATAGACTCGGTTAGCAGAAGCCAGAAGTTTACGTAAATTTTATGTTAATTGGGTAAGCAATTATTGCTTTGGTCATTCTAACATACTACAACAATCAATGCTAGAGGCATGCATCTCGTGAATTTTCTTTAACCCTCGGGTAATATATATAAATATTCTAATTTCTATTCCAAGTCAATGTTTCGAAGTTGGACTGTATTTGCGTAAATCGCCATCGTTTGCA